ATGTTCTAGGGACGGATGAAAAACAAAACTTTGGGTCTACCTACACTCTCCTTACCTTGGTGCTGATGGATGCTTTGTAACCACTCCCCTCCACCCTTATTTTAATCAGAATTCTTGCCAGGTATTCTTCAGACGAATGGAAGTCAATTCTAAGGACTTATCAAAATTCAGAATTAGGGAAAACGTCTCAAGTTAGGGTTATTTAAATGTCAGACCAACTTTTTTGGTGTAAATTTTTGGATCTACTTAACACATTTCAAGTGTTTTCTTTCATGGTCTGGGACTAAACAGAAGCAGAAATATCAAGCGTGCATTTGTCCTCACTGCTGGGGTAATGAGAGCTCACAGCTTTATTTACAGCGATCAAAGGGCTGTGACTTGAGAGCAAAGGAAATAGAAAACACTTAGTAAAAAGAAACATGGTAACCAAGGTGTATAAAGGGAATCAGAAGCAATTTTCATTCCAAAGAGAAATCACTGCACAATATGAGGCTGCCCAATTTACCCACTAGGGGGCACTAGGACTTTAGTAAAACCAAAACCAAACTCCCTCCTTCAATGTTTTTTTTAATCTCCCCTGATAATCCCTTCCAACATCATAGGTTGTTTCTATGGACACTTTTCATTCCTGCTGTTGTGGTCTCATGTCCAAGCTCACTTTTTATATTTATTTTTACTAGTTCCTTCTCCATCAAATTTTTATCTCTATGTCCTTACATGGAGCCCTGGTGGCATAGTAATTAAGCACTTGGCTGTTAAGCAAAAGGTCAGATGTTTGAACCTACTAGTCACGCCTTGGGAGAATGATGTGGCGGTTCGTTTCTGTAAAGTTTACAATTTTGTAAATTCTATGGGGGCAGTTCTACTCTATAGGGTCCCTATGAGTTGAAATTAACTATATGAGGTTCATGAGTTGATGCATTTATTTATTTTATATATTCTGTGTTAAAAAAACAAAGAAACTTAGGATCTATCTTGAAAGTCTTCTGTGGTTAAATTTTTAGTATGTTCACACTCCACACATAGAGCTTCCTTTGGCTCACTGCCTCTAAACATACCTGGGAATATATCTACTTTATCTTCCTCAAATCACATGCATGTATTCACTTTATTATGAACCATTGCAGAAGATTAATTCAACTCATTATTCATTGAGGTGTGGTGCTGTGGGTTAATGGAGCTGGATTGCAAAGTCGGTTTGAACTGCAAGATTGGTGATTCAAGCTCACCAGCCACTCCTCAGGGTCACTATGGGTGAGAACTGACTCGACTCGATGGCACTTCACAACAATGGCAATCTACTCTTTGCCAGGCATTGAGCTAGGCTGAAAGACATACTAGTGGGAGAACTAACTCTTGTGGGCATAGTCCATCTTCAGAAATTCATGAGATTGCTAGACCTGGCAGACAGGTTGTTGATTTACCTCCAGGAATATGTAAGCAGGCTTTTCTAGGACTAGGAAATTTTAATAAGAAGCATGTAGTCATTAAGATCCTGGGCAAGCCATTTTGGCTTCTCTGGTGGGGAGGGAAAATGGGACATACCATAGAATTGTATATGGGGAACAGGAACTGGAGGAGGGGATTTTTGGAGGAGATGAGAATAAAAACTATCTGTGGCGGGTCATGAGTGCATCTGTCCGTGTCTGCTGGGTTGGGTGCCTGATTTTGCAAAATCAAATAAAGAAAACCTCGATCTTGAGTATAGACTGGATTAGTTGAGCATTTGTTGGTATGGACAATGTTTCTCACACTAGGAAACAAGTCCTTGATTTCTGTCCTTTGTGAAATTCTTCATCTAGATGACTGTGTAATTTACTATTGACCCTGGCTATCCTTTTTGCTTGCTGTTGTTGTGAAGTGCCTTTAGTCTGTTCTGACCCATAGCGACCTTATGTAGAGTTTCCAAGGAGCCTCTGGTGAGCTTGAACTGCTGACCTTGCAGTTCAAACAGCACTTGCAGTCCAGTGCATGAACCCACACTGCCATACTGGGACTCCTTCCTTTTTGCTTTGTTGTTGTTGTTAAGTGCCGTCGAGTCGGTTCCAACCCATAGCGACCCTGTACAGGGTTTCCGAGGGTGTAAATCCTTACGGGAGTAGAAAGCCTCATCTTTCTCCCGCGGAGCGGCTGGTAGTTTCGAACCGCTGACCTTTAGGTTCGCAGCCCGATTCCTAACCACTACGCTCTTATGTTATCTAGAATATAATCAGCTGAGCCAAACGCATGGACAGTAACTTTAGCTTTTTTATTGTTTCCCTTTTATTATTCTTTATTGATGGTTATATCTTGATATATTGCTCCGTTTTTAGATTTTTTCTGTTTGTTATTTCAAGGGCACTCTGTTTGTGCTCACATTTGAATAATTTATAAAAGCAGATGTGTGCAGAGCTTGTTATGTGACATACACAACCTGCTTCTGTCTCCCAACTTCCTCTCCTCTTGCTTTCCCACCAATTGAGATCAAGTTGTAACGGGAGGAAAAAAGTCCTGTTAACAATAAGAAGCCTTTTGTCTTTTATAGTAGCGAGATATGGAATCTTAAAACCTTCTCCAAGGCTGATTTGGTGTCCCTGAAGCTATGTGGGAATGTAAAAAGAGCATCCTGGCACATCACGGGTCTTTTAAAGGTTCATGGAAAAATACAATTAAAAGATAATGAAATTTTTCCAGGAACTTTTTGAAGCCCTCTCATATGATCCCTGCTTTGTTGTTGTTGTTGTTAGGTGTCATTGCTTTGATTTTCTCCTCACAGTGATCCCATGTGATGGAGCAGAACTGCCCCAGAGGTTTTCCTAGGCTATAATCTTGACAAAAGCAGATTACCAGCTCTCTCTTCCAAGGAGCCATGAGATGAGTTTGAACTGCTAAAGGTTAGCAGTTGAGCACTTAGCCCTTGCACCATCAGAGTTCCTCTATCCCTGCTTTTGCCCTGACATTTTACAGAGGGGACCTGAAGACATGGATGAATTTACACAAGGCCTTTCAGCTAAGAAATCACCACACCGAATAAAAAACCTCAGTGGTTTGACTTCTGTATGATACCTCTTGGTCTGTTCTTCATTTCCCAAATTCGGTCCAACTTTTCCATATCCTGAGTTTTCAACAAGGGGCAGCATAGTAGGCTGAATTATGACATCCTCCGCCCCAAATATGTCCACATCCAACTCCCTGAAACCTGTGAATGTTATCTTACATGGCAAAAGGAACTTTGCAGACACGATTAAAGGATCTTGAGATGGGGAGATCATTCTGGATTATCATGGTGGTACATGCATCCACAAGGGTCCTTGTGAGGGGGCAGAAGGAGTCAGAGTTCCAGAGGAGAAGGCAAAGTGATGCTAGAACCAGTTTGAAGTGATTCTCTTTGAAGATGGAAGAACAGACTACAAGCAAAGTCATTAATTCTCCTTTAGTGCCAAACTTCATCTCTCATACTTCGGACATATTGTCTGGAGGGACCAGTCTCTGGAGAAAGATATCATGTTTGGTAGGGTGGAGAGTCAGAGAAAAAGAGAAAGACCCCCAGTGAGATGGATTAACCAAGTGGCAGCATC